AGAATGATGTAGAAGGACTTGAGACATACTTGGAAGGAAATAGGGTGGGCAAAGGTAGGATTCCAATTGTTCATATGGAAAATAATACAATAATCAAGAAGTAATAAGAATAAACTGTTTCCTGTACTCACAACTGTAAACCTTCTTTTACCCCACCCTGTATATATATATATATACACCTGACTGACTAGATTAGGAAAAGGGGGGCGGGGGGAGTGTTTTAGATGCTGTCATATATTGATTTGAGAAATCCAGGAGAAGGACCAAAGTTAAGGAGGAAAAGGATAACTAATTTATACAGTTAGGGGCTATGGACCACACAAATGGAGATATTCAATAGTCAGTTGAACACATGAATCTGGGGCTCAGGAAGGAGATCTAGGAGAGATATAGATTTCTAATTATGAAGACGGCAACTGAAGCAATGGAAGTGAACTAAAGTGGCCAGAAGAGATCACACAGAGAAGAAAAATGAATGTAAATATTTGAGATGCAAAGGAAGTGGAGCCTTCAAAGATTATGACAAGGAGCAACCACAGAGGTGGATGAAAATCAAGCAGATAAATTACAGAATCCAAAAGAAACAAAATTTTCAAAAGCAAAGCAAGGTTAATAATATATATTTGGCTCACCCACCTATCAATTCTTTAAGGTTAAATATGTTATGGGGTGGGGCCACAACATTAGTAACAAAGAAACAGAATTTCCAGAGGATGAGGCCCAGAAATCAGGATTTATAAAAGATTACCAGGTGATTCTAATGTGCAGCCAAGGTTGAGAACCACTGATGTAGTATGTTAAATTTCAAGAACCCTCATGGTAGCATGCACATAGTTAACTTTTCAATAAAACCCTTATTAACTCAATATGTTTACTGACTATCTAGTACACACCAGACATAGACATACTTAGGATTATCTATACTACTAAAAGGGTAATAGGCTAATTAGACTCGACGTCCTTCTGGACAAAGCCCTGGTGGCAGGGGCCAAGGCAGAGGTGGTTAGGGGCAATCAGGCAGGCAGGCAAGTGGTTAGGAGACAGCAGTCCCGGATTGTGAGAGTGCAGGCCGGGCTGAGGGACTGGAATTTCATGCACTGAGCCTCTAGTAAGAATAAATAACATAGCATAGTTCCTGTACTCACAGACCTAAAATCTGTAAGACTTGATTTTAATAATCCAGAAATAAATTTTTTAACCAAAACAGATTTTGCTGAAAACCACTACATTTAAAATTTTTAATGGGTGAATGATATGGTATGGAATTATACTCTAGAAAAGTTGTTTAAAAAAAATTAGTGGGACTAACGGCCGCAACCAGGAGAAGCAGTATTTCTGGGAGACAATCTGGTAAGCAGGGAAAAGATGGTGCCTCTTGAAGTGGTAATGAAATGAAAGAAGCAAGAAAAGTAAGGATCCCACAGAAACAAAAGAGCAAGATCTGCCAACTCCTTCCCTTTTCCCACTACTACTATCAATATCATCCATCAGTCATTAAAGAAACTGCAAGTCACCATACTGACAAAAGTTGCTCTTGAATTGTAAAAATAGGAAAAAGAAAAAACTCCATTCAAATCTATGGGAAACAAAAGGCAAATAAAAACATTTCAGCTGATTTAACAGAATCTAATATTTAAAACTATGTTCTAGAGAAAACTTAGCAGAAAGTGAGTAAAAGTATTACCAGAAACAACACCAAGACATCCACCAATAAAACTATCAGACTTTAAAGGTAAGAAAAAATATCTTCAGAACTTTCAAAGCAAAAGATTCAATTACCTAATAGGGGTAAAAAAAAAATTTAGGCAGTCAGGTTTCTTGAGGTTTCAACCACCAACATGCAAAGAAAAACAAGAATGAAGCTGCATTTTCAAGAAATTTAAGGAAAGTGCAAGTCCACAATAAAAAGGAGTAAATGACTAATACATCCAACAACATGGATGAATCTCAAGAGCACTAATCTCAGTGCAAGAAGCCAGATAAGACTATACACGATTCGATTCCAATTATATCAAATTCTATAAAAGTCAAAGCTCTAGCGGCAGAAGGCCAACCTGTGGTTGCTAGGTATTGGGGGTGAAAAGAGATTATCTGCAAAGGGGCATGAGGAACTTGGTGAGTGAAAGAAATTTTCTTTACACATATCAGCAAATGTCTGTAAAGGTCCGAACAGTAAATATTTTAGGCTTTGCAGGCCAGATAGTCTTCATTGCAACTACTCAACTCTGCCAACGTACTGTAAGAACAGCATTGACAACACTAATGAAAGGACACAACACTAATGGCTGTGTTAAAATCATCTTTATTTCCAAAAAGAGACAGCAGGCCAATTTGGCTCGTGGGTTATAGTTTGCTGATCCTTTGTCCTATAACCATTAGGGTGGTAGTTAAGACTATATTTGTCAAATTTTTAATATTGTAACCTTAAAATTTGGTGAATTTTCATATAAATTCTACCCAATAAAGCTGATTTTCTAATAATGTAAGCCAAGGATTTCATACCCAGCCAAGCTATCCTTCAAATATCAAGGTTATAGAAAGAAAAACAACATTCTGCATGTGCAAGAACTCAGGGAATGCTGTACACACAAGCCTTTCTTAAGGAATATTCTAGAAGATGTTTGTCATCTAACCAACAGATAACTGGAGATACAGGAGCAAAGGACACATATACAATTCTACAGTAAAAACTAAAATAAGGGGGGGAGACATGGGTAAAATAATATTTAAAAGTTACATGTTCTGATGAAGTAGAAAGAATGCAATGAAAAACAATGGGAGACCCTGGCCAGTTTTTCTCAGTGGTTAGAGTGTCGGCCCACAGACCATAGAGTGGTGGGTTCAATGCCCGGTTAAGAACACACACCTGGACTGCAGGTTCCCCAGGTCTAGTGGGGAGTGTGGGAGGCAACCAATCGATGTGTCTCTCTCCCATCAATGTTTTGTTCTCTCTAGAAATCAATGGAAAAAACATCCTCAGGTAAGGATTAAAAAAACAACAATAACAACAACAGAAGGAGAAAAAAGGGCAAAAGTAGAATTAGATCACTGTCATATAGGTAATAGAAGGAATCAAAGGTTGCCATTTACTATTGACTGACCAGACGGTAAACAAGAGAAAAGGAGTTAAAGAGACATTATAAAAGGTATAAATACAAACCCTCCAAATAACAGAGTAATTTTAAAAATTCACAAACACTGTAGAAACATTGTAAACAGACAAGCTTATATCATCTCTTCATTTTAAAATATTATAAGTTTTGGATAAAGTAACTCAAATAGAAAATATTATTTCTACACAAATGAGCTTAGGCAAGCTACCTGAAAGGTTACTAAAATAAAACAGTGAGCCCTGACTGGTTTTGCTCAGTGGATAGAGCATCCGTCTGTGGACCAAAGGGTCCCAGATTCGATTCCAGTCAAGGGCACATGCCTGGGTTGCAGGCTCGGTCCAACGTGCAGGAGGCAGGCAATCAATGATTCCCTCTCATCACTGATGTTTCTATCTCTCCCTTCCTCTCTGAAATCAATAAAAATATATTTAAAAATAAATACATACATACATACATACATAAAATAAAACAGTAAGCCTAGCTGGTTTGGCTGGGTGGATAGAGTGTCAGCCTGCAGACTGAAAGGTTTTAGGTTCGATTCCAGTCAAGGGTACATGCCCGGGTTGCAGGCTCAGTCCCCAGTAGGGGACCTCCAGGAGGCAGCCAATCAATGATTCTCTCTTATTACTGACTAGAGGCCTGGTGCACAAAATTCATGCACGGGGAGGGGGTTAGGGGGAAAGGGTCCCCTCAGCCCGGCCTGCAACAATGCCAGGATTGCTCGCCCGGCCTCTGGCCAGCCTCCCCTCCCTCTGCGTGGCTGGGGCATCCCGCCCCAGCCTCTATGGGTGCCGCCATCTTTTGTAACAGCGTGACAGTTAATTTGCATATTACTATTTTATTAGATAGGGTGGTGGGCAATCATACATTTGTCCAAATGCATAAAACATTTGTAGAACACCAAGAATAAACCCTTCATGCCCAGGTTGCAGGCTTGACCCGCAGTGGGGGGCATGCAGGAGAGAGCCAATCAATGGTTCTCTCTCATCATTGATGTTTATATCTCTCTCTCCCTCTCTGAAATCAATACAAATATGACACACACACAAAATAAAAGAAATTAAGTTGTTCAAACTAACAGAGCAAATAAGGGGTATGGCCATTCAAAATAAGATATTAGGTTCTTACTGACCACTTCACTGTTTTGCTACTGACATATTCAAATAGCTTAGTGACTTCTACTATTTTCATGTCCCAAAATAATTCTTGAGTGGCTCATTAGCCCTGAATGCAATTCAAATTCCAGAGAGGTGATTCATAGACTTTCCAGGTCATAGAGGCCTTAGAAGCCATCAAGTCTAACTTCATAAATCAATACCAGGATCTCCACTTGAAGAGTTCCACTGATGTGATACAGCCCTTCAGACCACTCTAATTATCAGAACACTTTCCTGCATTAAGATGAAATCTCCCTCTTTATAACTCAAATGAACCCTTGGTGTTACTCTCTCTTTTGTAAGCCACAAAGAATATACTGAATTTTCTATCTAGCCAATGTTTTTTACACATCTAAAGACATATCAGGATCACTTCAAGCCTTATCTTTTTCATGTTAAGCAGACTCACTCAATAATTCCAATTATCCATCAGTTTTTAAAACCATCATCATATTCACTTACTCATTCTTCTCTAGATGGGTACTTGAAGTGTGACATCTAAAATCAAACATATCGCTCCACACATATTCTAAAAATAAAAGTAAATTAAAGGTATTACTTCCCTTAAGTTAGTTAATATATGTCTATCAAACTCGAGTTTCTTTGGCTGCTTCTTTAATCTATAGAGGAATATGGAATTTACTAAAAACCCTAAATGGTTTTTAAAAGCATTTCACAAGTCATTTATGAAAAACTTTGAACACATTATGGCTCAGAATAAGCTTTATTAGGCCATTATAGGGTGTTTTGCAAAAATTTCACCACAATGTTATTATTTATTTTTGCCCACAATTCCATATTTTGAAAGATGCCTAAACCAAGCTACATTTACTAAGTTATTAAATAATTTTCCCATTTTTGGTAATCTGACATATACAACTGCCAATGCCCTGAAATATTTCTGGCAAAGAGCAAAGTAATTCAATGTTTCACTCTGCGTGCATAGCCTTAATTATGAGGAAACGTGCAATTACCATTAGGCTTTCTGAAATAGTGAACCACTTTAGAACCATACATACCCAATCTTCCTGCACCCTGGAGACCAAGGATTCTAATTAAATAATTATAACAATGGCTACTGTTGGCCCAAATATGCGGTTGATCCAGATGAGAAGTTAGTAGGATTCAAAAGGAGAATGCAATAGAATGCAAGCTATAAGCCATATAATCCTATTTAATAAAACCCTAATATGCAAATCGAACGAACGGCAGAATGACCAGAGGAATGACTGGTCGCTATGATGTGCACTGACCACCAAGGGGCAGACGCTTAACACAGGAACTGCCCCTGGTGGTCAGTGCACTCCCAAAGGGGGAGCATGGCTCAGCCAGAAGCCAGGCTCATGGCTGGCGAGTGCAGTGGCAGGAGCTTCTCCCGCCTCTTAGGCAGTGCTAAAGAGCAGGGAGCCAAGTGGTAAGGAGCAGCGAGCATGTGGGTGGTAAGGAGTGAGGGGTCCCAAACTGCAAGAGGGTGCAGGCCAGGCTGAGGGGACCCCTCCCCCGCCCCCAGTGCATGAATTTCATGCACCAGGCCTCTAGTAAAACTCTTAAAAAAAATTAGAGCCACACTAAGAAGGTATCTGTTTCTTTTACTTCAGGGGTGAGGAAGGGTACAGAAGAAGATTAATTCCAAGAAACAAACTAAAACACTACACAAAAATCAT